GAGGATGATGAGCAAGAGCCACTAGGTTTTGCATGCCAGTCTTCCATGTGACGAGTGACAATCCATGTGCAGCTGAAGGAGGGGGTCAGACTATGGGGGACAGAAGAAGACCCTGGCCCAGGAGGGGCAAGGGAAATGGCTCTGATCCTCACTGGGCTCCCATGGCTGCAGGCAGGAAAGCTTATTCTTGTACAGAAACAGGTGGCTTGAGAATATTATGTGGTAAATCAGATAAGCTGCAATCTCGTTATGCCAACAGATGAGTGAGTCAGAAAGGTTTGAGTATAGCTGTCAATAGAGCATCCTGTAAGGATAATGTTTAATCCAATTAGATTAGACACTTGCAGCTCCCATCCCCACAGCTCCTTGTTTAGGGGGAAAAACACTGTTCCCATGTAGAAGGAACAAAAAGCATCTCAGCAGCCTGAGCACCCTCAGCATGTCCCATGCCTCTTTTTGCTTTCCAGGCAGTGTTTGCCCCCACTGCTTTGGACACAGTCCCATAAATGGCCCTAACCTTGCTGCTTTTCCTGGGCAGTATGTTTTGCAGCACATCAGCCAGATGATTTTACTCCACAAATTTTGAGTAGTTTTCATGCTAGGGAGAGACTGTCATATGAGTTGTTGGGAGGGGAGGAATTTTAGTCCCAGAAACTCCACCTTGTTTTCTGAGCTATCAGGCAAGCCTTTGGAACAGCTTAAATACTTGATATTTCTAATTGGAACACCATTTCAATGACATCTACCAACATGTGACATAGCAGGGGTTTTATGCCAATTTTGCAATTTGTGTTTAAAGCTATTGGAAAAAAGTCTGTGCAACCACACGTGTTCAGATGTTGTTATGCTGTGTGACAGTCTAGTGCAGGTTTCCTAAAATAGCAGCCTCATCCTCCTCCAAAATCCTCCATTGTCTGCCTAAGGCTATTCAAAGAACATTATCCTATTGCAAGCTTAGACTGTATCTACTTCAGTTATCATTGTTGTGCCAGCGATGGCTGTCATGGTGTTCCTTGAATATCCCTAAAAGCCTAGGGAACACTTATACCTGTTTGAGTCATGCTTTTAATTCTGAGTACATGAGCCCACCACAGGGTTGCCCCGGCCCTGCTGGCTCCATTTGCAAAATTCATTTAGATTTCCACCTGCCATTCCTCCATGGTTTCAATTGCACAGCAATTACATGGCCCTGGCTTGCCTCAAGAAGTCCTGCCTCAGTTTCTCCAACTCTGCAGCTATGAATATCAGTATGTTAGGATCTTCATTCTTCCTCCTTGTTAAGAAGAATTTTCTTGCTAAATTTCAAACCCTGGGTGCAGAAGCAGGAAATGATCTTGGATCTTTCATATTTGGAGCCCAGAGTATCACTGTTGGACACTGTTTTTCTTATGAATGTTTTGAAACAAAAGCACTTATCTTGAACTGAACATAAACTTTCATATCAAATGAAGTATGAATATCTGGAAGGTTTGGATCCAAAAGAGTGCAAATTTTGATTCAATATGAATAGTTCATGCTTTTGCAATTTTTCAGCTCCCAAATCACAGCCAAAAAGCACATACAACAATTTTCATAACCCTTAGTGCATCCACAACCCCCTTTTTTTTTGTCAGGAAAGCACCACATATTACCAAGCACAAAGGACCCTCTGTTCAGACACAGGGCATCCTGAGTACATCCTCTTACTGCATAGCTCTGTCCTGTGATATCCACTTCATATCATCCTTGGACATTTGATCATTCCTATGGTTCCTGGACTTCTAATAATTTCTGAGAAAGGAGACTATGAGCTCCCAGGAGACTTTCTCTCCTTTGACAAATTTGACCTGGCACAAGGAGGATCCAACAGATCATAAAAACTGTCAGGCAACAGTATGCTGGACTTTAGGAAGAGCTAAACTTCACTTCAGACTTCCGTCAAAGACCTGGTGAGAGGAAACTTCATTTCTTTGGGATCCAAAATATGTTAGTTCCCTTGAAAGATATTAAATTGGTTTTACTTCAACCTTTTTCCTCCTTGACACCGTGGGATGAAACAAGTCTTGTATTTTACCAAGTATTGGAAGGGCCCAGATTGCTACTGGAGGAGAGACATTGAAAGGCAGAAGGCAGCCTCCAGCTTTCCTTTGTTAGTCATAAATAAAATTACTCCCAAATGGGAGGTTTGCACCACTGCAAATGAGTTTTTACTGGTGTACAAGCAATGGTTTCCTTACATATAACCGGCCTGACAGGCCATGGGCAGGAAGGCTGGACCCACAGAAAAATATGTTTCCCTCCAGCTCTAAGAAGTTGTTTGTCTACATCAGTTCCAGCTGGCTGGCCTGCATCTCTTCTGACTAGAAATGCTTCCTGAGAAAAAGGATGATACTCCTATTTCTAAGGGTATCTTGCACAAGGTGAGAACAATCTCTTCCAACTGTTCTCTGCAGGTCTAAAATCTACTGTCCTATAAGATTGTGGAGAACCGACTGTTCCTTTTTTCTTAGCCGTAGCCTTTTATACAGTTGGGGACTGTTTTGTTAGAAAAGAGATTACTCAAAAATAGACATGAGAAACCTGTCTTTCCTCAAAGGTCACATTTTCCCAGTGTATTTCAGGTGAGACATCTGTTAGAACACCATGGCATAATCTGTTATGCAAGAGAGGGCTCATCCTAATGGATGTACACCTCCTTCTGCCTGGAAGTCTCGACACATTGTGCAGCCTTTGTTAAGCTGAGGTAGTGGCTCATCCCCAGGAACTCACCAGGTGTCTGCCCTCCATGAACATAGGACTTTCCATGCCACCTTGCTGAATTCTAGTCCTCTCATCCTGAATACAAATGTCTTTAGTTTTGAGATGGTGCTCGAACACATTTACAGACACCTGACCATGGCTTACTCACTGGCTTAATATTTTTACACCTATCAGTGGAAATACTGATGTGTTCTACATCTGTTAAAGCCTCCACAGAGAATCCTCCCCAAGAAATTATACATTTCATTAGTGAGCTTCTAAAACAAACTATTTGTCTTTCAGATTCATTTGCCACCTCTTTCTCACTGTCTTGTCTAAGCCCCCACTGTAAGACACAAAATATCTATTATGTTATTTCCACATCAGTCAAGAGTTGTGACAGCCATTACTTTCCTTCTGTCCAGACACTCCTGACTCTGCCACAGAGGAAACTATGCTGTATGACACAGTTTGCTCTTGACAAAGTCACAGTGGCTGTTATTTGTCTCCTCTAGTTATGTAGATAAACAGGTTTGCTTTTGTATTTTCTTAGAAACCAAACTTTCAAAATTATCTATTGTAGAATTCTCCAGTTCTTTATTTTTTCCTATTTTGCTGAAAGCATCATTGCATCTACTTTTCCCCAGACTTCCAAAACCTCAGAAGATCCTCCATTAGTTGTCAGAAAAAGTCATCAAGAGTTTAGAGGTTACTTAACACAATCCTCTAAAATCTCAATTTCTTCAGTACTTTTCTTGATAGTCTTGCTCTTCCTTATATGATAAAACACAAAATATCCATTGCTTTTTGTGTTCCTAAATTTAACCTCCTGTCTGATCTTGAGTTTTCTGACTTTTTATTTTTACTTGTTCATGGTATTTTTATACACATCTTCAATAATTTCCCCACACTTACACATTTTCTGCCTGTTTTTCTCTCGTTTAAGGTTAACAGGAAGACATAATTTACAAAATGGCCTGTTTTTTCCAGTTTGAAAGTTTCATTTCATGGTCTCATTCACCTGAGCTGTCTTCCACCTTCATTTCTCTGCTAGTTCTTGCTGTTGTCTCCAGTCAAAATCAAAGAAAATTGCCTCTTGCTCTTTCTGCCACTCTTTGTACACAGAAAACTGCTGCCACATGTGAAACCTTGCTGAGCTGCCTGCAACCTGAAGTGCTGCCGTCCCTGCTAAAATTATCCGTTGCCACCCAGCCCTGTGCTTGGGACAGTGCTGCCTGTCCCAAAAAGGCTCCATGCACCCCATGCTGGAGGCCTGGAGCAGGCCCCACCACACCAGGCCTGAGCAGGCCCTTGTTCCTCTGCTGGAACATTGCTGGGGAAGGCTGTGTGGCCACATCACCTCCTCCGAGCCTTCTTGAGCAAGAATTCTGTTCTAACATCCTGGCTGAGAATTACCACAACAAGCCACCTTCCCCCAGGCTGGATTGGGCCACTCCTGGGAGAAGCGACAATATTCACAGACACAGGCAGCCTGGGCCCTTAGACCCTCACTCCTTAAGCAGGTGAGGGTTGCTTATTTTCCAGCAATGTAGTAGATGGGATTCACCCCTATTCTCCAGTAATGAAACCTCCTGTGTGCTGTTGAATTCTTCTAAATTCCCAGCATCACACTGACCCAAACCTGCTGTTTGCAGTGTTGTGGCTTCATTGATGTGAAACAACTCCTTCTCCTCCCAATCATAATTCTCCCCCTTTCTCCGCAGATAACAATGAGGGAAATTTTTCTACCTTCCCAGATTGCTTGGGTTTTGTTTGGTATTTGGTTTTCATTTTGTCAGCAGGGCTGCCCACATTTCCTCAGGATGCTTCAATTCAGCAACCCCAAACAGAAGCTCTCCAGATTCCTTCCCACATGGATGCCATGCATGTTCCCCATCGTGGCTCTCACTAGCAAGAAGCAAAGACCATAGACCTTGCCAGTTCAGTACAAACGCTGGACTAAAGCATTCAGGATTGGTGCTTCCCTTAGAGAGCAACCTTACAGGAGCTGCTATAGAGCTAGGCAATAGTAGAGAGAGGCCTAAAAAAGCAGTGTTAATTTACTATTTTTATTTTGGCCACTGACTTTTGTGAAGAATGCACTTCCTACTATTGCTGGGAGCTGGGAGAGCAGAAATAATAAGATGGTCACCTTGTTAGCCAAGGATTAGGCCCAAGCAGTATATATTTAATTAGACTTTAAAGAGCTTATTTCAATGTTAGGAGATGCACTCCTTCCCTGTTGCTGCTGCCTCAACGGAATTGTTTCAGTAAGTCTTCTGTTTATCAAGAGACAGGAGAGTGTTTTCAGACATTGTGAGCACTCAGTTTTTGTTTGCAGTTAGATTAAGAAGAGGAAAGTTGACCCAAAGCTCTTGAAGAGCTCATCTAATCTCTTTGGTTGAGAAGATCTGTCCTCCCACAGACTCACCTTCAGCATTATAAAGGAATACATCTTCCTGATGACAAGCTCTCTTTGCAGGGATACCTCAAACTTGGTTAATCCAGAAGCAGCATCTTCAGTTACAAAATTTTAAGAGACACATGAGAAATTAGAGTGCTGCTTGCACATCTTTTGACTTCCACCTACCCACAAGGTCTAGGGCATTCACAATGAGCATTAGTGAAGACGACGTGGAGAAGTTTCTTGATGGCAACCCTGCTTTTGCCAAGCAGTATTTTGAGAAGAAACTAAAAACGGAGTCCTGGGATAACAATGAGAGTGAAATACTTTTTGAGCTGATCCAAGACATGCAAGAAAGCATCAACATGGAGAAAGTGGTTTTCAAGACCCTGAGAAGAATCAGGTCCCTTATTCACGCTGACCGCTGTAGTCTCTTCATGTACAGGCAGAGAAATGGCACTCCTGAACTGGCAACAAGGCTTTTCAACATCCAGGAGGGAAGTACTCTGGAGGAATGCCTGGTGGCCCCAGACTGCGAGATTGTCTATCCCCTGGACATAGGCATTGTGGGCCACGTTGCTCAGACCAAGAAAACCATGAACATCAAGGATGTCCGTGAGGTATGTTTGATTTATTTGTTATCTGGGGAGAAGAGAGGCTCACAGGGGTCAAGAGGCAGCAGCACATCACAGTGCTTGGTGAAAGCCCTTGTGGTGTAACTGGAAATGAGCAACAAGTCTGAAAGTTCCTTCCAATTTCATTTATGGGGTGAGGTGAAACTAAGAACGTTGATTACACTAGGTCTTAATGCTTGCAAACAGTGCACTGCTGCACCTTGCCTGTCTAACTAAAAAAAAAAAAAAAAAAAAAAATCACATCTAGTCCAGCAGAGGAGAGTGAAGTTGTCAGACCTGAAATGAATGCACACAGAATTTTCAATGTGATTTTATATTCTATGAGTAAGTGGCAGAGACAGAAATTCTTTACAGTGAATCCAAAGAGGGTTTTCCACGACAAAAGAACTTGGAAGATATTTGCTGTGATGAAGGTTCAGCTGAGGGCATTTAGAGGCACCACTATCAAACAGAGGGAGTGGACCCCAGAGCAGTTAACTGCAAGCTGTGTACGGGTGATCTTCACCAGAAGCAGCAAGAGACAATCTTAGACTAAAAAAACTCTTCCAGCAAAAATTGCAATCTGCAATATCAAGAAGGACCTGAGGGATTTTAATCTTTTCTGTTTATGCTTTCATGACAGTATATATTCCCCATACTTCTGGTTCAATCATGGAAACCTGGATGGCAGGAATAACAATCTGCTTGCTCTAATCATAGGTATAAAACTAAAATCCATGTGACCCAAATATGGCATTTGGGATTACTCCATCTATTGTTTGCTAGTTACAAAGAGACCATCTGTTTATTCATTCACTTGTTGCTCAGTGCAGGCATATCTCAGCCCTTCAGCAAATCCTTCCTTGTCTTCCACAGAACACACTGAGACACTGTTTTGGTTCTGCAGCCCAGGTTCTTTTTTGCTGGGCATACTGTTGATGTTGGGGGAAGCATCAGAATGTGACTTAAATCTTAAAGTTTTTTAATTTCTGACGTTTCTCCAAATACAGGGGAGGATTTCAGATCTGTGAGCCAAATGCTGTGCTCCAATTCTGGTGCTTTTAGACATTGTCATAATACAATTCCTTTGAAGAAGATCCAGAGACTAAATGCTTGGTCTAGCCCATTTGGCAGAAAAGGCAAACAATGGGGAATGTATGGGGAGAAGATTCATTAGGGAGTGATAATTTTTTCTGGTGCAACCTTCTGAATATGATCAGAGTTGTGTGGCTTTTCCTAACCCAAACAGAATGACTTATAGATGACAATTTATTCACCTGAGCTGGGAGAATATCTTTGGTAGCAAGGCCATCCCTGCACTCCCCCATGGCAGGTGATGATGGTACCAATGAGGCCCTGTGTAGGCAAAGTGATTGGCCATCTGCTTGCCCTGGACTACTCTTTCTCCACTTTTTAAGAGAAACTAGGGGTAGATGCTGCAGGCTGCCAACAAGCTTCATGGTAAAAGTAGAAGAAAAATGAGAGTGTGTGAACTTGCCATTGAGAGCACTGGTTTATACCCTGTTGCTATGCAGTGCTACCTGGCCCTACCCACTCCTCAGTGCCAGCAAGAAGTCAGAGGAAAGGATGGAGGAGGCACCATGAAGAATGCCATTGATCTGAGAATAACCAGTGGAGAGCCCCCTTGTTCTGAGAGAGTTTGACATGTTAAAGCTTATGATTGGCAAGATCTTCGCAGAAAGTTAAAAGTGCAAGTGTTGCAGTTAAAAGCCACATCCTCTGCTCTTGATATTAGCTTTATGATCTGTATGTGGTTTTCTGCTAACTCATTTCTTTTCCTCAGTAATTTTTAAGCATAACTTTCTTTAGGCAGCTTACTTTAAGGGGCTGCGCTTGGACTTGGTTTCAAGACACATTGTGAAAAATGCTTATTTGTAAATTCTCTATTAAACAGTGTGCCCAGTTCAGCCCATTTGTTGATGAGCTCACCGACTACACCACAAAAAACATCCTTGCAACACCCATTTTGAATGGCAAAGACTTGGTTGCTGTCATTGTGGCTATAAATAAGCTGAATGGCCCACACTTCACCAGCTCTGATGAAACAGTAAGTGGTCAGTAGCTGAATTCCTATCAAAAAGCTTTACTTTTGTCGTGTGATAGAAATCCTTTTACCCTAGTGATGCCTGCTTTAGTGAAGCTCCACTGGTGTGAATTTCCCTTAAGGGCACTCACACACTCATAGAAGAGGCTTATATTGAGAATGTTTATCTCAGATCTTTCAGGGAAGGTACAGTGGGATAAGTCTCATGTCATGGCAGTGCAAAGCAAAGCATTTATCCTGGGAAATTACCCTGATGCTTGTAAAGCAGTGCTATGAAATACAGTACACATGAAGTTGCTACTGCATTCAATTAAATCTCACAATTTGCCTTTTCAGCTTTTTCTGAAGTATCTGAATTTTGCATCCTTGAACTTGAAAATTTATCACTTGAGTTATCTTCACAACTGTGAGACTCGAAGAGGCCAGGTAAGAGTGAAAATGCAGTTTGGCTATCTCAAAATCAAATTATTTCATTCTTCTGATTTAAAGGGTGAATCTGATTTTCTTCAGAGATTTGTCCCTGAAGAGCAGAAATAAAGAGATGCCCTCAACTGCTTTCAGATACTGCTTCTTTCCCAGAGTCCTGCATTACTCTCTCTCTCTTCTGCTATTGGCAAAACTGCAGGACATCAGGCAGTGGCACCAGCTTCAGCAGGACTGACCTCAAGGTGTTCTGTTTATTTGAGGCTGTGAAGCACTCTTGGATCATTGCAGAGAGCAGCATCAAGAGACTTTCTGAAACACTTAAGAATGTGGTATTTTCCCCCCCATCTGCTCATTAAAAGTGCCACTGAATTTCCTCTTAGAACCAGTAAAATTATTGTCATATCCATGTTGTATTGGCCTCCATCAGTAGAAAAGAACATATATTAGGGGTTTAGGACATTCTGGATTGAAATTCTGGCACCATACTTTCCTATTAGTTGGGTTACAGTAGGACTGTCGGATTTATTGGCATGGATGGGAATCCTTGCAATCACTTTCTGCAGCAGGCAGTAGATGTCACTCAGGAGGACGTGGAATTGCATCTGTGCTTCATGGCAGCCACGCTCTATTCTCCAATGAGATTGCCATGGAGAGAGAATAAATGCCTATCTCAGCAAAATGGATGCAGAATGAAAGTTGATTTTGGAGCTTTGGATGGCACTTATACTTTCTAACTAATTTATTATGCTTTGCCTAATTTTTTCATTTATCAAAAACAAGAATGATGGCCCAGTAATACCAGCAATGAAGAACCGTTAACTAAGGTAGACCTAGCAAAGGCTTTTTCTGTGGAGAGCTTAGCAGCAGGACTAGTCAGGGTAAGAAATGGGCTAGAAGAGAAAGTGGAGGCCCATAAGGTGAAAGCTTAGTGTTTCTGGTCTGGGACTGGACCCAGGAGTCCTGTGTTCATATATTACTGCTGTCTGAGCAGGTCCCACACAAAGGGAGGAAAGCAAGAAGGAAATGCAGGACACACTGCTCTAGTTCTGCCAATAGCTCACTTGTCCAGCCTCTGATTAATACAGGTCTTCAGGGCTGTGTGAAAGTTATTATAGTTCATTGTGCTAGATTTTAAAGCACTGAAGTACAGAGTGAGCAAATTACATTCTCAAAAGTGGTCTAGGATTTTAATATTGCAAATCCCAACAGCAAAGACTGGGTGATACTGTGGGTAAAATGGCTTGTGCAAAGACAGGTCAGTCTGCTTGTGCTCCGATACTGTGCAAAAGTCCTATTAGAACACCACATAATTTCTTACCAACTTCTTTATATCAGTCAGATATATTTCAGCTGTTTCTCTCAGTCCTTCTTATGGGGCTTGTGGCTTTCAGTACTTATTGCATGCTGTGAAGTGCCAAAAGGCTAAACTGCTGCTCATGTTTATCCAATGGTCGGCATGACAACACGACTCTCCTGTTTGAGGGATACTGACACTGAACTCCGACTTCTTACAAGTGGAAGAGTTGTCCCAGTTTATGGACCAGTGCAGCTCAGAATTGTTAAAAAAATCTGCTAGTGCCCAGTGAAGAGGTGAGATGCACTTTTTCCAGTTGTGGCCATGTAACAGTATTTCTTGTTCAAAGCCCAATCTGCTTCAAGTTGCAGCTTCAGTGCTTCAGAAGCATGGCTCCTCATATGTCCTGGGATCAGAGAGCCAGACACACACCTGGGATACAGGCACACATGCATTAACTAAGCTAAGCAAGAGTGTAAATTACTTCCTTACCATTTCAGAGCAGTATTTGTGTAACCTCTGCTTTTAGAAATGAAAAAGCCTCATAGCAACAGCTTTCTTGAGGTTGTTACATTCTGTAGAATGTACCAGAAGATGGGGAAAAGCATCATAGGCTGTTGCACACATGAAACAGCTGCTCAAATACTTCCAGGGAAGTGTTAACTCAGATATTTCAAACACCAGCCTCTGGAATTTGCAATGGCTTTTGGTGTTAACCGGTTTTGGATGCAACATTTTACTAATGGATATAAAATTTAAGTGGGGACAACTCTTTGCCTGACACTGCTACTTTTTTTATGCTGTATTGGTAACATTTGACTCCTACACAACACTGTGGTGACCTGACTCTTTCTCCCTAGTAATTTCCAGTGGGAACAAGCGGGTAGGTTTCCTGCACCTTTCAGAAACCATAACCCAACAAGCCCATCTCTCCAAGAAAGGCTGTGCTTACATTTTCATTATATCCTGCAGGTGCTGTTGTGGTCAGCCAACAAGGTTTTTGAGGAGCTGACGGACATTGAGAGGCAGTTCCACAAGGCTTTTTACACGGTGAGGGCATACCTGAACTGTGACCGATACTCAGTCGGTCTCCTGGACATGACCAAGCAGAAGGTGAGTGTTCACATGTGTGCTGTGCATCCTTCTGCTTGCTGCTATCCACCGAGGGGTGATGCAGGCAGATAAGATTTACCGAGGCAGTAAAAGTGCGAGCTAACCTTCAGCCACTGTTCCTACTTCGCTCGGCGCTTTTTTACTGTGCAAAGATTAAGATAATGGGTTAACGAAATCAGAGGAAAGGGGAAGAGCTTATCACTGAAATGGGAGAGTTGGAGGCTGAGAAGACAGAGGAGGGGAAGAGGTGTCTGACTTAGGCAGTCCTGGTCAAAGTCTGCAGCACAAACAAAACCTCACGAAGTCCGTGGGTATCAGAAGTATAGTGAGACGCCCGTGGAACCATCAGCAAACAAGGGCCTATTTATACACAGTACACCCTTGCCTGGAGTGGCATGAGATCTGGAGAAATCTGAAGTTCCAATATTAGCAGAGAAAAGAGCTAGGCCATATCACAAGGTGACTTGTGACCAAACAGCCACCTTCCTCAAGGACTCATTCATGCTCATGATATCCAGGTTTTCAGATGAAATTTGGCTTCATGAAAACAAGCTGACGGAATTGAAGTTACCTCTGATTTGGTCTGATGGTTTGCACCTTTGGCAAACTTTATGTGGGGGTTACACAGCATCCTTGCCAGTGGAACCTCTTTGTCCCATGGCCAGGCTGTCTTGTTGACACAGCTCTTGCAGCATATTGTCTTGTGAAGAGGTATGTTAAAAGATCCCGTGTAAGCTAAAGGCTCTTTGATCAATACTATAATGTAGCATAAGAAAAAAACCCCAAAATAAGTATTTACCTTCTTCAAACTGGCAAGTAGTAGGTCAGGCAATAGTCACACTTTGGAAAATTAAGAACACAAAAACATTGTTGAAGGTGTTTGCTCTGAGTACAGAGCTCACTGTTCACTGAATGAATCAGCACTCTGTGTATAGGCAGTATATGGTAATATGCAGCCATAGAAATGCAACTGACATGTCCAGATTTGGATATCTGGCTATCATTCTGCTGCCTAGTATTGAATTAGTTTTATTATTTCATGCCTTGTTTATACAACACCAAAACCAGCATGGTAGAGCGATGCTTGCATTGAGGCTCAAGACAAAATGCAGCTTTCTACTCTAAACATACGTTTTTAATTTTAAAACCAGGAGTTTTTTGACCTGTGGCCCGTCCTGTTGGGAGAAGTACCTCCCTACTCAGGACCTCGAACCCCAGATGGCAGGGTACGTGAAAACAAGATTTCTTTTACTATCCCTTCTCCAGATGGATTGCCTCACCACTCATTTTAACACCACTCTTTTCTCACTTGTAGGAAATAGTCTTTTACAAGGTCATCGACTACATATTACATGGAAAAGAAGACATTAAAGTCATCCCGTAAGTGCCCAGTCCCTGAATTCTAGGTACTGACACGGGGTGTAGCTGAAAACAAGGTTCCCCATGTTTTAAAGACATCCATGAGGAGAAATGTAAAGGACTGATAGAGGATCGAGAGTCAGAAAGTAAGTTGGTGCCACAACTCACATTTCTGCAGGATAAAGATCGGGATCCTGACTCGGAAGTTAGGCTCCAAAATTCACGACAACCAGTGATTCTTTTCAGGTGGAGAAATGAGCTGCCTTGATTGCCTGCAGTTTTCTGCTGTCCTTGCCAGGTAGAGGCATCACTCTCCTCCATGCCTTCCCTGTGTCTGGGATTCATCCAGGATGCTCTTGTGCTGAGGTTTCCTTGGTTTTCTCCACTCCTTATATCACTGACCCCATCTTAAGGCTACCTCTGGCCTTTTCTCCCATCCTGACTCATTGGGACTCCCTTTTTCTAAGAACTGCTCTCTCTTCTTGCCACTGAATTTTTCAGTGGAGCCTTGGGCAGCTTAGGCAAATCTGACATAAGAGAGGTTTTCCCCAGTTCTGGTAACACCACTTTACTCTCGGGTTTGTGCTGCAGAAAAGGTCCCCATTTCTTGGGTACAGCAGTGTTCAAAGTTCAGGCTGGCAGGCATCCTTAGCCAGGAATCTCCTTTTATCCTTCTTTGTGTTGAAGGTCTGAGGCATGGTCTTCACTTCTAGGAATGAATTTTTATAAAATATCTGCAAACCGATATTTTATCAGTTGTTTCGTTTTGAATCCTTGAAGCGGAAGTATTTACTTATGTGGAAAATTTTTGATTGTGCGTGTGGATCCTTTGAAAGTAACAGAACAAGTTATGAACTGGGGGTTCCAGGCCTAAACTTGGATTATACAATCAACGGAACTCACTTCAGCTCCATGATCTCTTTTCAGTAAATATATATCTACAATTTCCCTTATACATTTTTCTTTCATTAGAAATCCTACCCCGGATCACTGGGCACTAGTTACTGGACTGCCAACCTATGTGGCTGAAAGTGGATTTGTAAGTACTTAATCTGGGATTCCTCAAGTCTTTCTGACACGAATAATACTCATGCAGCTTTCTCAGCAATTCAGTGCTTTGTTTTGGCAGTTAAACTTCTCATTGCCCATACTGTAATATTTTTTCTTTGTGATCCCCTAGATTTGCAACATTATGAATGCTGCTGCAGATGAGATGTTTAACTTTCAGGTATTGTGAAAACTTCCAATTCTATCAAGGATTCAACTTTATTTTTTTGCAAAAAATGTAATGGAGAGTCAATTTTGGGCATATAAATACTTCTTTTGCTTGTAGTCTGAATGTAAAATTGGAGTGCTTGTGTATTTACATGAGCATAATACGTAAAACATATTAAGTTCATGATGTCTCTCTGCTTGTTGTTGCTTCAAGGAAGGTCCTCTAGATGAATCAGGATGGACTATCAAAAATGTTCTCTCCATGCCAATTGTGAATAAAAGGGAAGAAATTGTTGGTGTTGTCACATTTTATAACAGAAAAGATGGGAAACCATTTGATGAACAGGATGAAACCCTCATGGAGGTATAGTTTCTTGCTGAAAGAAATTAATATAATTGAAGAGGTCACTATTTTTCCATGTACATCTGCAAAGCATCCTGAGTGTTATGCAGATAAATGTGTATCTTTGTTGCTTAGAGAGGTGTTATACATCAGCTTGAACATTGTGAAGGCGACGGTTTGACATACTGGGGGAGTTTGATATGAGAAACCCGACTATATTCTTGTGATTTTTTTCAGCATTCTTGGATTGTACTCCTAGCCATGAGCATCTACTGTGTGCCAACACAACCATTCTGACCTGTATTCACATACCTACCCGCTGGCTCTCACTGGCTGGGCAAGTCCCATGAAAAATGGCACAGAAATTGTCTATACAGCTAGGACAAAAAGAGAGGCCAGCTATTAAATCTACCAACAGTGGCTGTGATTAAAGACCTTGCTCCTTAGAAATGTTCCTATGCTAGTTGCAATGAAATATTTAGCTCTTGGCACCTGTTATCAATGAGGACATTTCCTGAAATCAACTTTTCTTATCAAACAAAAAGACCATGGGGAAAAAAATCAGTTTGAGTTGGCCACTGGACAGCAAACAAGTTGAAAGCGATCACAGGATGTGAGTAAATACATGTGAAAGGTGATGAGGGCCCTTTGCTCTCCTTTGATGTGAGAGCTCCTGATCTGCTATCACCACTGTGACAGAAACATTTCACAGACACCTGCAGAAACACAGAAATAATTTTCTGTACTCTGAACTGGACAGAGGGTCCTTCAACCTGCACAGAATCGATGCTGTCAAGGCCTGGGCAGATTCAACAGCAGAGGAACTGCTTTGCTGAGGAGCATGTCACAATTGGAAGCAAAGATGTGGTTGCTCATTGCTAGAATTTTGGACAAAGTCCAGCTTGTGTTTCTTTAAAAAGCTATCACACAGTGTCATATTTCTGTGTCTTTGAGGAGCAGATGTTATGGCTATATCTCTGTTTCCTTCTCTTCCCCTTACCAAGTCCTTGACACAGTTCCTGGGCTGGTCTGTACTCAACACAGACACGTATGATAAGATGAACAAGTTGGAGAACCGTAAGGACATTGCTCAGGACATGGTGCTCTACCACGTGAAATGTGACAAGGATGAAATCCAGGAAATTCTGGTAATGCCTCACGATGTGGAGCTCACACCCAAGTGTACTGGCCTGGCCCATGACCCATGGCACAGACAGAGGTCTCCCATTTCACAGAGACACTTCAGCCACCATGATGTGGGGGCAGCACCTGGGTCCTAGTAACTGCACAGGGACAGAATGAGTCTTTCTTCTTGTTCTGTGGTCTGCCCTCCTCCTTGGCACACTGTGCCACTGTGCTCTTTCTAACTTCCTCAACAAAGCCAGCCCTGGAGGTGCTACTCAGGGCAGGGCTGTAGGAGTGGAACAGAAACTGATTTATTCCTCAAAACTTCCTCTGTGCTGAGGATGTGAACTCAGAGGACCCAGCTGTGACACTGGCTCTAGGGGGACATTTGCAAGTGAGGGAAACACAAAACAAAATCTAGGAGGGGGAGAACACTACCAGGAAAAATGTGTTGAAAGACAAGAAATTGAAGTAAGGTCCAGGAAAGAAGCACAATTTGGATATGAGAGTTGCCCTAGATTGCCCCAAAGCTGCCCAGTGAGAAATCCAGGGGGGTTCAGTTGTCTCCTTAACACACCCATGCTTTTTGCAGCCAACACGAGAAAAGCTGGGGAAGGAGCCATGTGAGTGTGACGAAGAGGAGCTGGCAAGCATTCTGGTAAGAACAATGCACTGCTGGAAAGAACAGCCCTGGCAAGCAAATTCTGCCTGCCTAGATGTAGGGAAGAGTTCCCAGTGTTGGCATGCTGTTACCTGGCAAAGGGTGAAGGCACAGCATACCCTGCCCTCCTTTGCTTCCTGAGTTTGAGATTATCATCAGTATGTGTCAGCACGTGCCTCCCACAGCTCCTGGGGCGTCCCTGCTCTCTGCCTCTTTATCTCAAGGACTTCAAAGTCCATCTGGAAACACATCAGCCACCTTGGCTTGTTTATCAGAGTAATTAAGGAGGGCTGTAATTCTTCCTCCATTTTGAGTCTTCAAACTATATGAAATCAAATGCTTAACAGGAAACAAGCAATGTTTCCTGCACAAAACTGCCCTCCCTCTTCCTCCACTAAGGGGTTATCATGAAAAGCTTCATTTTGGTCTATTTATGTGCTGTATTCCAAAAGAAAAGCAGTGTCAGACTGATACATTTTTATTCAGCAAAGCTTAGGAATGACATAAGCAGCACAGAAATAAACCAGCCCACCTCTCTTACAGAAAGAAGAACTCCCGGGGCCCACTAAGTTCGAAATCTATGAGTTCAGGTTCTCTGATTTTGACTGCACCGAGCTGGAGCTGGTGAAGTGTGGCATTCAGATGTACTACGAGCTTGGCGTGGTGAAAAAGTTCCAGATCCCACAGGAGGTACGAGCCGGCAGAAGCCAGCACATCTCCCGTCTCGGATGTGCTCGCCCATGCCGCGGCTGGCACCGCGGGCCCCGTGGTGCCCGGCACGGAGCAGCACAGGCCCGGGCTCACGGGCCTCGCAGGGAGGGATCGGCCTCCTGAGCCCCCTCACCCCGCCGAGGGCAGGGAACAGCCTCTCACATGGCATTGGAGCATATCTTCTGCTCTCTTCTGCTCCTCACTGCCTGCCACAGATGTGGTTTGCCATGAGGTCTGTATGGGCGAGTGGCGGACTCTGCAAAACCTCTTGCACGTTGTGTGTCCAATGCCGCTCACAGCCGCAGTGTGGAAACAGCTCCCGGGCACACCACGGGAGTGCCTTCCTGTCCGCCCCTTTCCTTTGACAGAGCATGCAACCTGCAGCTTTCGGCCAAGACACGCTGAAACACACTCTGGCAAGCCCCTTTGTTTCTCATCCCCACGCAAACACGGATGTGCCTTCATTTGGCGCAGCTGGCACCAACCTGTCGACAGGAATGGTGTGACCCCCTGGGAATAAGGACCCCACAAACCCTGACTTGCCAGCTCACGACTTTTGCAGTTCAAAACCCTGTAGGAATTGCGAAACCGGCATTTCAGCAGCCCTGCTGCTCCCGAAGGGATTTCTCTGCTCATCGTGCGAAGTCGATTTCCATCTACTGGGATCTGGGGGTAACTGCAGGGAGAGTTTTCACCCTGGAAAGGCAGGATAGCGATCGGAAGGGAAATAAATGGGAATTACCTCGGTTCTTCTTACACGCAGAATGTCAGTGTCAAAAATATTAAATATACCTACTCTGGAACAACTAACCTCTGGAAGAGGTGTGAATAGCAGTGATTCTTATATTTGAGATTTTAAGAAATGAATACTCATTAATAAATAATTGGCTCTTTAATGAGAAAACTGCATAGCTACAAGAGAGAGTACACACGGAGAAGCAGACTGCAGCGGAAAGAACAGTTTTATATTTAATGCCCTATATTGTAGTTCTTTAGGTGATATAAATGTAATTCTCCTCTACATCTATGGATCCATATCTCTTGAAGAGAGACATGAATATTAATAAATCACAAGAAAAAGGGACAAATCTTATAAGTGATAACCTAGATAAACAGAATAAAATCAATACATTCACAAACAGTAAGATGAAATCTCTTTTCCTCCGGGTGGTGCTGATTCTTGTTTACCCCAGAGGCATGTCCGTGAGATTAATTTTTTTTTTTTTCAAAAAAAAAAAAAAAAATTTTAGTGTCCACTTTTGCTCTCTACTAGGCTTTACTCCATCAGCATTGCCAGGGTAGCCTGATGATATATGAACCTTCTGATCCCTTTCTGGGCCTACCTCTGCAGAGCGGGTTTGAACCTCATCCATGATTTCTGTACATGACCCGTATTGCAAGATGGGCGGGCAGCAACTTCATTACCCACACTAACATCCTCTTCCCCACCGGCAGGTTCTGGTAAGGTTTGTGTACTCTGTCAGCAAAGGCTACCGGAAGATAACTTACCACAACTGGCGTCACGGCTTCAATGTGGCACAGACCATGTTCACACTCCTGATGGTAAGGTAGCACCACCCTGGTTAGTTCTGCAGCACAGCTTTATTTACAGCAGGTCTTCTGTCACACCTGAGAAATATGCAGGGCTCCCTTCGAACCCTGCTGCAGGAAAATGTTTTGTCACTCCTGGCACAGGTCCTGCTAAATGAGGTCTCCATTAGCCTGAAGGGACAGTCACTGCATTGCACATGAAGGAAGCTTTGGTGAATATTGGGCAATGAATGGAGAGCTTTAATTCTCATAGATACAGATATGCAGGGTGTTGAATCGATTCCAGATTAAATCCTTCTGCAGAGTAGAGGAGAGAGACTACAGGACTTCCACTCTTCCAGTAGATTCTGACAGTAAGAGCCAGACTGAAGTCAGCTGGTGGGGATGGACACAAACTCATGCTTTCCATTTCCATCCAGAACAAACACAGGTGTGGACAATCTTTTGGATGGTTCAGCTTGACAACCGCATCGCCCAGAAAGATGCAGAGCCCTTTCACAGAGTACTTTGTGTCCAGACTGGGAGGGGCGCTTCTGAAAGCCTGGGTGAATCCTGGGGCCAAGGCTTCTTTAGCAGTGGGTAGCCAACCCTGCACATATGCATCAAACACATAAACAGCACAGATGCACCTGCCTGGTCTGAAATATTTTGTTTCCAGCTGATTCCCCATTTTAGCCTAAGTCAGCTGTGTACTGCGTTTCAGTTTGCAAATAATTTCAGTTCTCCTGGACTGTCCCAGGACATCCCCAGCACAGAGCAGTCATCGCTCAGTACCTTTTCCTGTTAGAGATGTTAACATATGGAATATAAATTCTCTCCCTCAGACTGGCAAACTGAAGCGTTACTACACTGACCTCGAAGCCCTTGCAATGGTAACTGCGGCTCTGTGCCATGATATTGATCACAGGGGAACCAACAACCTCTACCAAATGAAGTAAGCATTTTCTTACCACTTCAAACCATTTTTTGTTGCTCCTGCTTGGAGTGGAATCAGGCTGTGATCACACCCAACTCCAGTGCAGCTCTGTTTAACACACAAGGGCGACAACCTTCTTTTACAAGAAAAAAGCCTTGCTTTTCAGCTTGCTGCAGTGTTTGGGCTTATGCTTTGGCCAGTGGGGACAATTTGCCATGCTCTCTGGGGCTTTCTTTACCTCCTAGCCAACTTCCCTGAGTTAAAGCAGAACTCTACATCACCATTACAGTGTGGAGCAGGTGCAGAGCAGGCACTCAGTATCCTGAGCGTTACAGGAGACTTAGGATGCCAACAGAACCATCCTGGACGTAAGATGATGAATTTTTACTGTATCTATGGAGAAAGCGCCATGTTTGGCATTGCCCTCACTACCTACAGAAACAAAGCACCTATGAGAATATTGGTCTCAGTAGGTAGTCATTTTAGCTACAGATAAATAATTGCATAATTTTGTTTCCTTGTCAAGGCTCTGTTGCTCACTTAAAGGAGACAGATCACAGCTCTTCTGCAATGCTTGCTGCCTAAATCTCTAATATATCCTGGAGCTTTGGAAAAACATTAAATAAAGTTTTTGATAGAAGAGGGCCTTGCTTTTCAGCAAAGTGTCCAAGGATTGCAGATGTCCTTGCTTTTTAGAAGGTGTCCAAGGATTGCAGGTTTTTCTGTTCCTATTACCAGATATCAATATGTAGTTATTCAGGATTTAAACAAACTTACTAAGCTGAGTAATTATACTGCAGTCATAAACAATATTTGGAGTGAAATTTGTAGTTGGAATACTATTTTTTCACAGTGTCTAAAGAGTTATAAGCAATGTCACAATTGTCTTTTATTAGACTGAAGTCATTACTTATTAAAAAGTTCAACTCATAAGCCTTTTTTAAAAAATGGTACTTATATGTGTGATAGAAATTAAATACAAAATTAGACATTTCTTTTCATTTTTAAGTGCTGCACTAATGTCTTCAATTTTTCCTTTATGCAAACAGATCTCAAAATCCTTTAGCTAAACTTCATGGATCCTCTATTTTAGAGAGACATCACCTGGAATTCGGAAAATTCTTGCTCTCTGAGGAGGTTGGTAATGAACTGCAGTATAAGGGCATGAATAATTTCCTTTGACTGAAGTTTTTCGTTAACAACAGAGTTGTCAGTACAAGACCTTTCTCTGGATTGGATGCCAAGAAACTGCATCCTTTCCATCCTTGGATGCCTCATTTCCAAAGGGCTCTAAGCCCACCCAGGACTAAAGCACATAGGCTTCCTAAATGCATGTCTTGGTTTCTTCAGCGGCCACATTTTTATCCCTATAGGAACAGGTTAAATACAGCGTTGCTCTCCTGTAGCCCCTCTGATAGGGCCAAGGCTGAAATATTCCCACAGCTAACTTTTAATTTCAGGCAAATTTGCATTTGAGTCAGGAGATGGGGTTTGGGTAGGCACTGTGTAACAACTTTCCCCTGCTCAGTGAATTAAAGGGGAAACAGCACTAAATGTGGTGTACGGGCTCACACCCCTTGGACACCAGAGGAGCAAACTGAACTACTGAAAGAGAAAAAAGTGACCATATTTGGGAAAGGGAGGTGGCCAGGAACTCATAATAACATAGAGCTTGGATTTTTCAATGCCCTGTCCTTTGCTTTTCAGTCATTGAATATATGTCAGAACCTCAACCGCAGGCAGCATGAGCATGTGATTCACCTGATGGAAATTGCCATTATAGCCACAGACCTGGCACTCTACTTCAAGTAAGTCAGTCACCACACCTTGTGTGAAAGGCAGAAAGCAGCTGGCACTTTACAAGGGCCAGATGTGATGCTTTACTCTGAAAGTCCCCACCAGTGCAGCAGTTCTCTTCACAAGCACTGGCTCTGGGAGGCTGCCTTTAATACTCACCTCAGACCTGAGGGGAGAACTCAAATAATTCAAAAGAATTTTGAATTTCTACTCAATTAAATCACATACATTACTTTTTAACCCTCTATTGCCAACAAGACAGGGCTATTTGATCCCCTATAGGACGAAATGTCAGGATTTGGTTTGGTTTACTTACCTAGCATTTCAGATCTGAAAATACTCATAAATGACAAATGGACTGGCCAGGACTGTACTAACTTCTCTGTGACAGCAGAATGACACAAGTAACAAGTAGTTCATTGTAGGTGAATGTCCAGCTCATAGTCTATTCCACACACAAGGGCCTAAAAAGCCAAAATCTTGGAGCAGTGCTTGCTTTCTGGGACATGAGGTTGAAAGTTAATGACATATAACTTCCTAATTAGCAAGAAGCTTTCAAAATGTGCTTTCAAAATACAGTGTCAAGACCAGAGACTGCTTCTGTGTTTTGCACTGCAGTATAATTACACAAAATTTAAACAGTCCAAAAAAAAGAAGAATTTGAGGGAAGCTAGAATACCCAGAACACTTACTGTGGAGATCCAATATCTGTATGGTACCATCATCTGTCTATATATCACCTCTTCCTCACCACTTGGGAACAAACTGGTCCTTGCCCTCCTTGGTCCATGAAGTGCAAGCAGAGGCTTGGCTGAGCTAAGACACAGGATTACTGATGATAGGACACACGCACAAGTCACTCTGTGGCATGGCCTAACTCTTTTCTCTGTTAATATTGAAACCTCAGATTTCTCCAGATCTCATGCCACTCCAGACAAGCGTGTATTGTGTATAAACCATTACTCAGAATTCCCTATATATACATTTAGATTATATAAATAAGGTTAACAATGCCTGACTAAGTACATAAAGCCAGGTAGCTTTAAAAATACTCCAGCTAGCTCTAGGCTTCTGCAGTTCACTTCACATGTAAGGAAAAAGATTTCTTTTACTGCAAACAAAGGTGTAAGCATTTCTCAGCTGACATAACTTGCAGTAGCTCGTACTTTCAAAGACCTGCTTATACCTCACCACTATACTCATCCTAAAGGCATTTACAACAGTTAAGGGAGCAGATGATGGTGCTTGGTTTTGTTAGGACATAAGAGTCAGGACAGCAACTAATGGGAACCCTTCTGGTGGAGTTAGCAATACCAGGATCAGCCACCTGTTTTTGACATATTTGTTTCCTTGTTTCATAGATGTTCATAGATTTTTCTTCTCCTTTTTTTTTTTTAACCCTTCCTCCCTACCCTCTGAAGAAAGCGAACGATGTTTCAAAAGATTGTTGATGAGTCTAAGACATATGACAGCGTGACTGCCTGGACTGAGTATCTGTCTCTGGAGACAACAAAGAAAGAGGTTGTCATGTGAGTAACTAGCTCTGGGGAAAGGTTAGTGATGTGGACACCAGGTGAGAGCTCCAGGATATGCTTTGTGCTGCAAAGTCAGCAAGTGATACATTACTGGCTACTCAGATTTGATCTTCTGGAGAAGCAGGGAAAAATACAGGGGAAAAAAAGCTTAAAGTGGTTCTTCATCCAAGTAAGTGTCCTGTTGGTCATATACTCCCATGGAGATGCAGGATCCCTTCTGGCTATACATTCCTACCACTTCATCCTGTAGGCCACAAACAGGGACATCCAATCCATTAGCTGTTCTTCCCAGTGGCAACTAGGCTGAGTTGCACAATGCTGCTGCTGTGACCAGACAGAAACTTTGCAGGATGCCCTGCACTGGTGGTGAAGTGCTCTCACCACCTCACTGCAAACTGCACTGCTACGCACCTGTGGGGGAGCCAAAGGTGTTATTCCAAAGTCAAGGAGTTCAGCCCAGCAATCACTAAAGCAGCAAACATTTTAGCTCCAGAAGCAAGCAGTTCTCCATCATAATTCCATTTTAATCAAGAGAGCAGCCTTTGATGAGTGTCCCAGTCAGAACCAAGGCTGTTACAGCAACACATCTATCAGTTTGGAAGGGGCCATGGGATACCGGATACAGTACTGGTCTCTGTTCTCGGCCTGTTGTCTCTGCCTGGTTAGGCTTAGGATGGCCTTGAGGCAGCCCGCACTCCAAAGGACGAAAGCAGTCTTCAGATTTTTCGGTCTTCAACATTGTTTATTAATTCTTATCTACAAAGTTGTCTGCCAGACTGACAGAGGTCTGCCCAGCAAGACAGCCATGGGCACACTGACCTCCCTCTGGGCGGTCGTCTATTTTTATACTAAAATCTATGTATAAGATATTTACCTTTACCTTCCAATACCTTTTACCCTTATTAACAAGTGCAGATTTAATGTGAACCAATCCCAAAGTGCCAGCATCACCATCAAAGATGGATAACAAGAAGAAGAGGAGAAGGACAGGGCACGCCCTAATTCCTCCATCTTGTCTCCTAAGAACCCTCCTGTACCAAGATCCCAAAACCTGTTTTCATCCTGTAAATAATCAATTCCTCCACCACTTATTCCCAACTGATCCTCTTGTCCTCATATAGGTGGCACATCCCGTGCAGGGTCAAAATCCAACGACCAAGCACGTCTGGCAACATTCCAGGGTTTCCAAGCCCCCCCAAGGGTTACCTTGGCAACTCTGGACATCAGGAGTGATGTGCTGAGTTCCCACATACTGGGGTATGAGGGTCCTGAGCCTGAAAAAATAGGGAATAAATTAATTTCTTTCCTGTTTTTAGGGCCATGATGATGACTGCCTGTGACTTGTCAGCTATCACAAAGCCTTGGGAAGTCCAGAGTAAGGTAAGGTGCTTGATATCCTGATGGATTTCTGTAGCTTACACTTCAAAGTAATGCAATTTCCAAGCTGCCTAGAAGCTAAATCAAAGTCTCCTACCAAAAAAAGAAATAGCTGTGGTTTTGATGTATTAACCAATCTTTCAGGCTGTAGTTGTGAATTCTGTACAAAATTCATGCTTACAAAAAAAATCTCAGCAAAACAAAAAACAAAACAAATCCGTCAGTTACATAGATTTTTAGGTCACAGTGAGATTTTTTACATGTAACATATGCATAGGCTTTATTATAGCAATACCTATCTGCAGTTTGCTCAGTTGTTTGATTTCCTTTAGGAGCTCATTCCTGAACTGTACTTGAGCCATTGCTAAATAATAAACACTAGATTTTGAAGGAGGGTAAAAGAAATAAAACCTACGTCCTGTTCAGCATGAAGAAAGGACAACAGGAAAAAAAGAAAAATAGACACCCACAACGTGACCAGTAGGCAAATCCTCATGGGGAATACATTGGAAATATTTCTCAATAGATGAGCAGCGGCCTAATGAGATGCAGCGCAATATGACTGTTGAGCTGTCACTAGACAGGTGAAATCCTGCTGCCACAGCTGCCCTTCCCAGGAAGAGGAATGAGGCTATGGTTGCACAAGAAGAAACAGAAGGATAAGAAGTGAGATTTGATTCAGAATGGAGAAATGAAGTGCATCAAGTTATGGGGCTGAAGTTGGTGCTAACTTTTCTTTTTCCCTCTGTGTCAATGTAGGTAGCTCTCCTGGTAGCAGCTGAGTTCTGGGAGCAAGGAGATTTGGAAATAAGCGTCCTTCAGCAACAGCCCATTGTAAGTAACATGTAAGAACCAGGCAGTTCAGTTCAGACAGCAAGTCTCAGCACAAGCAGTGCTGCCCTGAGTGCTCTGTGTCTGCCTGAAATCACAGTGCTTGCCAAAATCCTTTAGAAAAGTATGTTTTGAGATAGTGAATAGCATCCCTGACAGTGACAAGTGCCTCTTGTCCAGCTGTCCAAATAGTTAGGTGGGTTCAGTGGCTGTGAAGCATCAAGGGGTGATTCACCCTGGAGATTTTTGTGTAGGTCCCCTACAGAAAAAATTAATAACTAAATAGACAAGTCACAGAAGAAAGAATAGTTTCTAATAAAGAGAAAAACTGCCAACACAGACTTCACAGAGTCATAGAATTATTGATAAATGGAAGGGCATTTCTAACATTTTTTTAAATGAATAAATTCAACATTGAAAGAGGCAGGAGTTATTCCTGTAAGTGTCCTCCACTTGTGTGGTTTGGGGATTTTTAAAGTAGACTTTCATGCACCCCCTCTACCCACAGTGGCATCACAAATTATATAGTAATCAACAAGATCTTGTAAAAATATAATTTCCACAAGGGAAAAACTTGTTCTCCTCCCCATCCATGGACACTTGAATTGCAGTCTAAAATTTCTGCTAAAATGGCTATGGAAATGAGCCCTCTTTCTTCCTCTGCAGTTGAGGAGGAGGGCTCTGATGGGTGGTCTTTAGGATAGCATGACAGAACTGCCAGGCTGACACAAGAGGGCAGTTTTGGGGAGAAAATAGAGTTGTGTTTTTCAATTAAGTGTTCTCATAAACCACAATGAATTTGTGTCCTCCCACAGCCGATGATGGACCGAAGGAAAGCTGCTGAGCTTCCGAAGCTTCAAGTGGGTTTCATTGACTTTGTGTGTACATTTGTCTATAAGGTAAGCAAAGTGCACCCTCACACATGCCACCCTTATCAACAGGGGTTCAAATCCCAGCTGACTGAGTCCTGGGGCAGCAGCACCACTTTTGGGGAGAGGGACAGGCACACAAGGGAAAATCTGCCCTTTTCTGAGGCATTGCAACGGGCTGCCTGTTTCTGGCATTGATGCTTTCTGCAAAGCATCAGCTTTGGATGCGAGGTGTCGGGGTCTGCCTTGGGGTATGATGGACATGCATTCCCTCTGCACTGCATTGCACTGAAAGACGTGTTTTGATTAGGAGTTTTCCCGTTTCCATGAGGAAATACAGCCTATGCTTGATGGGCTGCTGAACAACAGAAATGAGTGGAAGACCCGTGCTGATGAGTATGATGCAAAAGTTAAAGCCCTGGAGGAAGAGAAGAAAAAAGAGGAAGAGAGAATGGCTGCAAAGAGAGGTCAGAAAAAGTAATTAGCTTTTCATTCCTAACTCAAAAACATGCTTATGAACACTCTCACAGATTACAGCAAGTTTTGCTGACACAGCAGAGTAAGATTGGCTCCACTGGCAAGGCTGAAGGCAACTTGCCTTCAAACCTGACACTATGACAGGTTGTCAAGAAGGCCAGTTTAAAATCCCAAACACTATTATCTTAGAAACTACTGAGAACACATTCAGCATGAATTCCCATGCAGCTGGGGAAAGCAAAATGTCATGTACTGTCCCTGGAAAATAGCAGGTAAACAACCCTTTGGCTGACCTGCTGTCCCACAGGTTATAAAGCAGAAGCTAAGAAAAGCTTTATGAAAAGCTAAAAAAAGTTTAAAAGGTCCTAAATATTCCTAGAAGAACATTTAAGAAATAATTGTTCATCACATCACATTTCTAGCCCAGATTAGGTACTACTTAGGTGCAAACAGTAGTGGCAGTGTCCAGTAGCATTTTATTTTGGTTGAACATGGTTTTCTTCTTCTGTGGGCCCAGCCTGGGCAGACTGAAAACCACCAGCAGTGGTGGGTACTGGTTGAAAGTTTTTCTGATAGCCTGAGGATTTGTTTGACTCTCAAAAGGGCAGAAGCAGAAGGTTCTCCTGGCCTATTCCAAATGTCTGATCAAATACCTGCCACAACTGGGTGCCTTCACTCCACAGAGACTGTGTCTGAACTCTTCTTTTGTTCTAAACTGGACCAAAATTCCAGCAGCCTATGGTGTTGACATTGCTCAAATGACACAATTTAGAAATTATTAGAGCTGCCTAGATGTTTTATCTCAGTTTGATTCACAGTAGTTAACTTAAAATAGCAAAAGGAAGTGTTTTAACTATGATCTAGAAAATCTCTGAAGAATTATTTACTGAATAAGTAATTATATTCAAGCAAGAAAAATTTCCACTAACTCTGCAATGCTCTTTCCAAGCAGCCTTACATGTACAATCACTTTGCACAGCAGACAGCTCTATATAGGGTGCTATAGGTATATGACCTAAGCTGATCATTGGAGAAAAGTTCTAAAAAACTTCTGCAAATGACTGAGAAGGAAATTTATGACTGTCTGTCTAATTCTATGTTTCTTTTTATATGACAGGTGAAATAACCTGTAATGGAGGAACAGCTCCAGCTTCCAAAACCTGTAGCATACTTTAGACCTATTCTCACAGAAGTATATATGCCACACAAAAGGAGAACACCCTATGAAAACAACAACAACAAACCAAAACTAAACAGCAACAACAACAAAAATAAAAACCCAAAACCCCCCAAACCCCCCAAAAGCAAAAAAAAAAAAAAAACAACAACAAAACAAAACAAAACAAAAAAATCATCGTGTACAAATACATTCCTGATTGGACTATTCTGATAATTTATTAGGCTTGTGACCAACCAGGGAAGGGCTAGATCTTGTTTGCCTTAATTGCATCTCTTCCTGACGGTAGGGAGCCAGTTCTGTCCTGTCTCCTGTCCTCCATTTAATGCATCTGATGTCAGATGTCATGTGACAAGTCAAGACAACATTTGGCCCAATAAATCAGGTTGTAAGATTATGGAAGAGCATTTTTCCTGCACTGAAAAACTTCTTATCCCAAAGCTGATGGGGATAGTCCTGCTCCGTACAACCTCCTGAGACTGACAGTGAATGCAACCATAGCCTGCACAGTGGGAAAAATGAAAAAGAGATAAAGTTATCATATCTAAGTCTGTATCTGTCTGGACATCAGAAGGACGCCTGTGGGTAAGGATAAAGCATGAAAACTGACCACAGTAAACCTTTGAACTGCTCTAAAAGATTATGATTCCACTTAAATCCAAGAAACGCTCTGACAGATAATACATCTGCATTCACTTCAAGAATCTGGATAAGTTGCTATCCCAAAGCATGGAGCTATTCATCCAACACATAGTAGCTGCCTTCTCCAGGAGCAGGATCCACATTGTATACTAATTGAAGCTTTATTCCTTCATGAATCATTTAAAGAAGACAGTGTTATCATTACCCATCACAGTTCCTCTTACAATTAGCTAAGTAACCTGAGTTGTGAGATCTCATAAATTTGTTCTGTTTTGCCTCATAATGCTGTTACTTAACACAATGGATCAGAACTAACTGTCCCTCCTTTCCTCCTCCTGCTCTGAGATGTCTTGTTTTTAGATAACATGCCAGACTTGTGACTCTTATTTCAGATGAAAGTAACTTTTCATGTTTATTCATGCAAAAATAGAGCAATCGATTACACTCCTGTAGTAATAGACACAACCCCATGTCCTGCTCCCTCCCCCCACCCCCCTTCTTTCTTTTTTAAAATTGTTTGCAGATCTGTTTTGCTGGGGATTTTCTTCTTCTATTACTCCTGTTACCTTCAGGATTCTTGTCCTTCAGTATATTGTTTTGCATTACAAAAATACTGCAAGTAAAAGGAAAACTAGAGCTGTGGTGGTACCTGGTGATCATTTACCTGTCTCAATGTAGTAAGCAAGATGTAATCCTCAATCATTACACAGCAATTTTTTGAGAAGCAATGTGTCTTTCAGGAAAATACAGAAACTTGTCCACTTGCATGAAAGTTAAAACACAACAGGTAGTGACTCCACGTTGTATGTCTCATTTCATTAAGAATCATAGAATGCCAAGGACTGGGAGAGACCTTCAGCATCATCTAGTCCCAGCCTCACTGCCATTGGCGGGGACAACTCTCACTAGACCAGATTGCTCAAGGCCTTATCCAGCTTGGCTTTGAACAGTGCCAGAGTCGGGGCACCCACAGCCCCCTGGACAACCTGTTCCAGTGTCTCACCATCCTCACAGTAAAGACATTTGATGTAAACTTCCCTTCTTTCAGTTTGTACCCATTGCACCTTGTCCTTTCACTACAGTTGCTAATGAAGAGTCCCTCTCCAGCTTCCCTACAGGACCCTTCAGATACTGCAGGATTGCCAGTAGGTTCCCACACAGCCTTCTCTTTTCCAGGCTGAATAGCCCCAGCTGTCTCAGCTTGTCTGGGGGAGGTGCTCCAGCCCTCTTATCAATGTTGTGGCCTCCTCTGCACTTGATCCAACAGTTCCATGTTTATTGCTTATGTTTGGGGCACTGGAAATAGTCTCAGACTCCAGGTGGAATCTCGCAAGAGCAGAGGACCATGTGGGAGATTTTATCATACAGCAGAAGTCGTCAAATAACTTCTGTTCTTTCTTTTCTTTTTTAAGTGGAAAAAATGCCACAGGTTATTGTAATGCACAGTGGTAAGTAGTGGGATTTTGACAATCACCACAAGACACCGTACACTTAAATACTGAGAAAAGCTCCTTATGTTCTCAAATGTTTTCTGGGAAATTAAACCTGGAGGCTAACCTTCCTGCTCCCCGTAACCAGCGTGAGGCACTCAGAGCCCTGCAGGGTGCTCCAGCAGGGCTGCTCACACAAGGAGCATGGTGTGCCTGCCCATCGCACCCTGTGAGGGACTGTGCCCTGGCTGCCCACATACACTTGGGAGCACAGCTGGTCCTCACAGCCTCAGGGTGGGCATGCTGCCAGGTATTTCCAAATGGGAATATGCATGCATGCATGCAGGGGGTGTCCATGGACACTCAAGAGTGGGGTGCCAGTGGAGGAGGCTGTTTCTTAGGGGTGGACCTTTGCCATGGGAGCAGTGAGTGAGGGCCAAGAAACAGATTTGTCCGCTGTTTTCTCAGGTGTGGTGGACTGAACTTTACTTGGGTGGGCTGGTTGAGCCGGTTTCCACAATAACCTGGGATTGATGTCTTAAACAATGTGTTGTCACATCAGGTAGGGAAAAATGCACATCAGAAGCAGATCCTGCAGAGGTAGGGTAATACTTTTTATCATGCCAATCTCCTTCCTTCTGGTGAGGCACAACTGTATCTAACAATGCAAAACTCTCCCTCCAGGGCAAATCTGGGAGCAAACCTCTAGAGGGGTTCCTCTAGAAAGCAGATTCAAGTGGCCCCTCCCCCAGCTGGTTCAGGAAAATATTTACTTGGAGAAAAGTGGAAAAAACTGTTTATTTAACAGGCAAAGTATTCACCAGCACAAAACCAAACAAACAAACAAAATTATTTTAAAAAATCTCATATTAAACAGTAAAACCTCTTGCCACTCTGAAGAGATGACAAACTCAGAAAGTCCCCTTGGTGGGCTGTAGCTCAGCTCAGTCAGTCTCTGATCAGTCCCTCAGGCACCGGAAATGCCGCGGCCCAGGCCCGCCCGGTGGGCCACAGGTGCAGCTGCTGGTGCTCCCCTGGGTGTTCAGTCCAGAGCAGGTTTAAACAGGTCCAAAGAAAAGGGAAAAAAACCACAGGCCAGGGAACTTCTCTGCCTCAGCTAGCTAAAACTAACTAAAAGCAAAAGAGAGCTCTGTCCCACTGTCTGTGCTGCAGACAGCACAGGCCAGGAGAAGGACATGGGGGAGCAAGTGCAGTTTCTGGTAACAAACTGTGCACTTCTCTCCCCCTTCACTCTCAGAACCAATCTGAAAGGTGCAAAAGTTATTTCTGGGCTAAACACATGAATGGGGACACAAGCATTATAAAGTCACCCCCAAGACAACATGGGAGTGTTGACACATACGCCTGAGGGTATACCTTCTTTCTGATAAGGCACAACTGGCAGAACCATGCAGCTGCCAGAGCATGGCCAAACAGCAGTTGTGCCATTAGAAGGCAACATAAGCCATCAAAGAGAAGTGGGGGCGCGTACAAGGCCTCTGCGGCTGTCAGAGCTGTGAAGGTTGCAGCTCTGGCGGAAAGGGAGGGAAAAACTGACAGGGAGATTGGAAAATGCCTTCAGCCACCTCCTGTATATCTGAGAGAAATGCTTACTGTTGTCTTTTCTGAGCTGGCCACAGCCTGACTTGAACTAAGCCTGGGAAGTGCTCCTCTTCTCCCAGGCAGGAGGAACAGGAACAACTCAACATTCAATCAGTTCTTCAAACAAAGAGATGGTATTAAACACCACAGGGAGGGTATGGATCCCAGCTCCACCTTTCAGGCAGATGTATTGCATGTCTTGGTACTCTGTAAAGGGGCTTTGTCCCACCAGCATATCCAGATCCCGTACAAGGAAAGCTCAGAGAGTACTAGATCCAAGATTTTAGATTCACTCAGTCTAGGCTGAGTTGTTTCCATCCTCCATCATAAAACTTGCAAGAGGAAGATCTTTTTTCTCTGTACCTCTTCCTCTACTCCTTCCACAAAACTATAGGAGTAGAAAAAACATTCATTAGATTCAGTAGGAAACCATTCCACTCCCTTTCACAAAGCAGCAGAGTACTCAGGAGTCACACAAATGTAGTTCCAGCAGAACATGTGGATGTAGTGTTTTCCAGAATACAGAATAAACATGAAAGGTCTTCCCCCTCAAACCCTTTGAGAGGAAAGACATAAAGACATATTTTCATTGCTTCTTTCCCTTTCTTGGCTTTTTTTTTTTTTTTTTTTTTTTTTTTTTTTTTTTTTTTTTGCTTGAACCTAGACAGTCATCTATTGTCTAGCCAGAATGGGGTGGCAGAGAAGTAATTTGGTCCCTCTGGAATGGCTGTAAAGTGATACACGGTACCTTTCCCACCCCACTTCAGAATTCTTCCCAATCTAAGAGGAATTACAAGGACAGCTTTCTTACCCAAAGCCAGTTCATGGAAAGCGTGTGGAAAGCGTGGCAGACCTCTCTTGCATAATTAAGATGCGTAGCACGTCACTCCTTATGAAAGAGACGCATTACAATTTGCCTGTAACTTAGTTTTGAGGAACATCTGTCCATCTGTACTGTTTAGAATATCTGACTAATGAGTCAGCACCAATTCCTCAGGTCACAACATAGCTTGACAAGCCAGAATCAAACCTGACAGCCACATGAAAGAATTGAGCAATAATTGAGCACTGTGATAAGAAAACTGAAAAAAAGGTGACAGAAATGCAGAATTGTGATTCACTGCTCATTGTCCATGCAGACCGGTGGCAGGTGATATCCCTCTGGGGTCAGTACTGGGGCCAATACTCTTCAACACTTTTGTCAGCAGCATGTACAGTGGGATCAAGGCACCCTCTGAATGTTTGGCACCAACACCAAGCGGTGAGGAGCACCATGAGCACTCATAGCCCAGGAAGGCAATGGGACCCTGGGCTGCATCCAAAGCAGTGTGGGCAGCAGGGCCAGGGAGGGGATTCTGCCCCTCTGCTCTGGTGAGACCCAGCTGGAGTACTGAGAACAGCTCTGGTGC